GCTTGGGATCCGCCACCGCCGCCGCCGCCACCGCCGCTCCACAGACGTCACATGATGTTTGGTCACGTGGGCTCCATTCATGAAGCGGCGACGCGACCGTCCGGGGCTTAAAGGGGAAGGCGCGGCGGCAGCGGCGGCAGCCGCGGCTGAAGCGGCCGCAGCGGCGGCGGCGGAGCGCTCCTGTACTGCGCCTGCGCGCCCAGCGCCGTCGCCCCGGCAACGCGCGCGCCCCGCCCTGCCCGAGCGGGGTCTCGCGGGACTGGCGCGGACGCGCGCTCCCCCGCCGGCCACGCCCACCCTTAACCTGCTACCCCCCGCTTCCAAAGCGGGAGCCGCGGGTCCTGCCCAGGCGCCTTCCTTACCCTGGTGTGCACACACTTTCACTGGCCACGTCCAGGGGGCAGGTGCGGACCCGCGGTCCCCGGGCACTACCTGGTGTTGCTGATGCCGCACGGCAGGCTCTACATGTATTATTACCTCGCGTAATTGGAGAGCTCTCCTCAGCCCTGCCAGGAACAGTGGCCTGGTTCACAGACAAGCAACAGGCGCGGAGAGGTGACAGGCTTGTCCAAGATTCAAACTTAGGTCCGTTCAGGCCACCTCCAGGATCCTCCCAGTAGTGTGATTAGTGTGGTCCGTTTTCACCCGACACCCGGAGAACTCACGTAAGTGAGAAGGACCGTGTCTGGACCGTGTCTGGCTCAGAGCAGGTGCGCCTGTAAACATCTGTTAAATTAATAGTTGATGTAGGAACTGTACCTTGCCTTTCCTTTTTCATCAACATCTGTCTGGAACTCAGTTCACGTGTCCATGTCTGCTCCTGCCCTTTCTGTAAGGAGTTCTCACTGCTGTTCAAAATTCCCGGAGAAAGACCATGAAGGGGTAGAAGGGAAATCGGAGGGCTCCAACTTCCACTTCCAATTCTGGACTGCTGCTCAGGTGTAAAGCCAGGAAGGGTGACCCACCCTACCAGGCAGATCAATGGAACCCAGGTGAGCTGACAGAGGAGGCACCCGCTGTGGGTTCCTTGTGAGAATGCAGTGCCACTGAATGAATGAGGAAGGCCAACCAAGGAAGCCTCTGAAGCCAGGGAGCATAAAGCCATCACAAGCATCACCTGCCAGACTCCAGGAACTTCTCTGAACACACAGCTCCTTGTCACTTTCTACTTTGTAGGGTTGCTTGTGGTTCTCGTATCATCCCATGCTCTTTAGGGCAGGGCACATCCCCCTACACTGGGTATAGCCCGAGTGTCACATACTTAGGGCCTTCATGTACCTGTGACATGACTTCTAAAGCCCTCAACTCTTTTTTTTTTTTTTTTT